CTCCTCGTCCTCCTCCTCCTCCTCCTCCTCCTCCATTGCTTGTGACTGCGAGGGGAGCGTATGCTCGCGCATCCTCACCCCTGCTCTGCCCCAGTCTCCATCCCCGCGCCCGTCAACGCAGCCAGGATCGCCCAAGATGGCGGTCATACCCCCCGCCCCCCCCCGCCATTCGCACCACACGCGAGTTTCCTGCGTGAGCCTTCCTTGCAATCTACTCACTAATCGCTCTCTCGGCGCTCTGGAATCGCGCTCTCGCTCGGAGCTTCCGCACAGCTTACTCAGGAACCGACGCTCTCGCTCGACACTTCCTTGCCATCCCCTCTTGCTGATCCCTCTTGCTGACCCCTCTCATCCTACATGTTCTCCCTGCTTCCCTATTGAGCCCTTACCTCCTCCCTCCCTTCCTCGACTGCTTTCCTCCTCGCGTTCTCCCTTTTCCATTGTTTGTCATTCCTGATTTAAGGTTTGCGACATGTGGCAAGGAAGGAAGATAGACCCCCCAAAGAGGGTCCGACCAAAGACGAAGAGGGCGGGTACCGAGGGTGTGGGGGATGCATGTTGAATGGCACGCGAGCATCTGAGAGCGGACAGACTGGCTTTGATTTCTGTTGCTGGTGTTGCAGACTGCGGGCCGACAACCCAGTTTGATCCGAAGACTTACGATAAAATGAAGTTGCGAACGGGCGAGTGGGAGACACCACGACTTGCCTTTAGAAATGAAAGCTCAACCCGTTCAGCAAGACAAACAACTCCTACGACGGCCAAGACGGCCCAACATGGCACCCAAGACGCCTCCGAGACAGCCAAGATGGCCGCAAGGGAGCTCAAGAAGGTCCCAAGGTGCTTCCAGGACGGCCCGAGATGACTCCACTACGGCCCGAGCTGACCTCCCGACGGCCGAAGAGGCCCCCAAGACGCCCCAAGAGGGCTCCTAAAGCGGACCCCCAGGAAGCCAAAATCATGGTTTGTTTTTTCGTTTCCGATGGTTTTCGCGCTCTCGCCCGCTCGAGCTTCAAAGCGCCAAAGAAGACTCCAAAGGACTCCAAAATAGCCCAAGTACGGTCCCAGAAACCGCCCGAAGGGCCCCAAGATAAGCCAAGAGGGCCCAGGACGGAACACGGACCCCTCGAGACGGCCTCAGGAGGGCCACAAGACGGCCCAAAATAACTCCAAGACGGCCTGAAAACGCCCCAAGACGGCCTCCGAAGGCCCCCAAGACGGCCTCCGAAGACCAAGCGGCCACTGTTAGGCCCCTGACAGCCCCCAAGACGCCCGATGAGGTCCCCAAGAAGCACTCAGAGGCCCTCAGGAGGCCTCAAGAGGCCTCGTCGTCCATCTTCCTTCTCCTCCTTGTCCCTCTCCTCCTCTTTTTCTATTCCAAATGCTCCCCGAAGGGTTTCCGCAACGGCTCGGGGAGTACACTGCCCAATAGCTCAGCAAAGCGTCGGTTCAACGGTTGGCCACATAGGCGTTTCTAAAAGGCAAGGGGACGGCAGTGCTTCGTCGTGTCTTTGGTTATATGCAACGCCAGAAAAGCTACCGGTATCACTCGGAGAAGTGCGTGTCGCACAAGCTGGCAAGCTGTCGAAGACTATCGGATACAACGAGAGATCGCACAATAAGTAACGGCAAAAGCGACGCGGACACTCCACCTGGAGCCTTGCATGGATTTGCAATTCCAGTTTGGGCCGTGCTTGAAGGACAGCTTGAGCTCATGACCTTCATCCTCTTCGTTATTATCCGCCTCCCTTTCCCCTTCGTCATCCTACACACCTCCTCCTTCTCCTCCTCTTCCTCCCCTCAACACCACTCCCCGAACAATCAGGGAAGATGCAGGGTGCCCACCGATCATGAACAGCAGCAGCACGAGGCCCAGGTCCATGATGGTCAAGATCTCCAGGTAATCGTCGACCAGGGCCAGGCCATTGGGGCCCACCAGGACACCGCCCAGGATGTAGCCGATCAAGATCGGCTGCCTCAGAAAGCTGACGATCAGCGCCATCAGCCCCGCTCCGAGCGTAGAATAGCACACTGCGACTATGACTCCGCCGGCCGGCCCACCCAGGCGGCGACCCTCCGCCCCCGCGAGATCATCGCCACCTTAGGGCGACGAGATCTATACATATCCACTGCTCCTGGCCAGGCCCATCCTGGGCCCAGGAGCTGTGTATATGCCTCCCTGGCCAGGCCAGGAGGGCGTATACACCGCTCCTGGGCCCAGGATTGGCCTGGCCAGGAGCAGTGGATATGCATAGATCTCGTCGCCCTACACCTGCTCCCACCAGGCGGCGAACACTTCCGCTCTTCTCCAGCGCTGGGAACACGAGCGTGAAGACGATGCCGGAGAAGGCGAAGAGGTACACGAGCGCCTGCAGAGGCGGAGCCATGGCGAGGACACTGTTGGCGAGCACGTCGTCGTTCTCGTCTCGGTTGGCCTCGGTCTCGGCACGGCGCAGCATGTCCGCCTCCTTGCTGATGGTAGAATCGAGCCTTCTTCTTCCCCTGTCGGCGGTGTTTTGCCCCGCGTGCCTCCCCTGCGCCCACAGCCCTTCCGCATCCAGGAGCGCCGTCGCCCAGCTGCCAAGAAGCCCAGCAGGGGCACCAAACGGGGGGCTGGCCATCGCTCGGACGTCCATTTCCTGTTTTTTTTGTGTTTCGTGCGTGGCTTGTTCACCAAATGATCGAGGATGCTCCTCGATGGTCCTCGCCGAAGGAAAAATGCACACGTCCGAGCGATGCCAAGGGGGGGGGGGGGGAATACCTCGGCTTTGCGCCGGCGTACCCTCCCAGCCTTATGTTGCGACTCATGCTGCATGTGATCACCCGCGACCACGGAAGGCCCAAGGCAGAGCTCGTGGGGCAAGAAACTGGTTGGGATTGGAGCGGGAGCTGGGCGAGATTCGGTGGCGACGGGCCGCGAGGAGGGGATGAGGAGGGAGGCAGAGGAAGAGATGGAGGAAGAGAAGACAGAGGCAGAGGAGGGAAAAGACCAAGCGACGTGGTGGGACTATCAATAGTCATGGCTCTGCGCAGCCCAGCTGGCCGCCGACGGTCAACCTGCCAGTCGTGACGTGGCCGAAACTGTGCGACAATCATCCACCCTGCCGCCCCAGGCGCCGAGGGCACTGCATGAGCCTATAAGATGCCTAGAGACCCTAAACTCCCAAAGCCCTGTAACGTCGATTGGGTGAACAACAAAACCTCCAGAATGCTCCGCACTGTAAGTTCGAAGCCCGTGGGATTGCTGCTGGCGTGAGTCGCACCAACTGCCTTTGAGAAGCTGGTGACCAATTCCACCCAAAAGAACCGCAGACTGCCCTTAAGCCTCCCACCGTACCAATCGATGTCGGCTAACTTCGCTGCTGCACTGACTATCTCCCCGGATCCCGACACACTGACCACCCGGAATGCAGACGAGATTAAACGACCTTCGTATCTGGAGGGCCGACGGCGGCGGCGGAGGATGAAAGAGTTGTCCCTTTGCATCCGTGCTACGAGTACCACCACTACGCATGCAGCAAGCATGGTTCCACCGCATTCAGCACCAGCACTATGCACGCACGTGTGAATGTGACTTGGCGCGAGCTCGGATGCTTAGATGTGAACAAGTTGGCCCAAACACTGGTGGCAAAAGTTGAGGCGGGGGCATTCTTGCACACGGCGCGACGATTCCGAGATGTACCCTGAATCCTATGCCTTGCACGTCTCGAAACCATACACAAATGCGCCGTCGCTGCAGGTCTATGTTTCAAGCCGGTGCTGCATACGCCTGACCGCGGGAACGGTCAGAAACAACTCTCCACAGCAGCCCGCCACTGGAGGCGCTTGATCCAATAGACGAGACTTCAAGCACCAACGTCAACGGCAAACAAGGCGGCACTACGTACGACGAATGCAAAACATCTGGCCGAAGTAATTGTGTCCTTCCGCTACCAGCTGCCTTTTGGACCCCGTCCAGATTTAAACGGGGCAAACGGGGAGGGCACACGAGCAGCAACATCAATGATTCTGCTGACTATCGCCGCTTCCCTGTCGACTTCATCAAAATCATCAGCGGACGGCGTGTGATCGTTCCTCGCGCCCCGCTTTGCAGCAGCGTCGGCTAGATCATCCCTTTGTTTCCAGAAAAGCTGCTCAGGGCTGAGACCGCCTGCGTCCACTAGGTTAGCCTTCAACTTGAGCTCAGTATTGTATTTGGTGCTGGATATCTGAGCAAAGCCCCAGCATACAGCCTCCAATTCGAAGCCTGAAGGGCATCTGAGGAATGAAACGCCCTGACTACGTTGGAGCAATCTGAAAATCAGACCGAGGGCCCCATGAAAAGATCACTGGAGGCCCCGAGTCCACAATATGAGCTGGCATGGGAGGTCACTGGGAGGAAGCTCGGGACTGGACCTGAGATGGCGCACCGAAAGGCACCACCCTAATCAAACACTGATGTCCCCCAGCCAGCCCTGGACAGTTCTTCAATATTCTACACCAAGACTTTTCACCCCTGACCCGTCGAAGAAGACCTGGCTCTCAGTACAGACGGGGTCGCGCTCTGCGCCGCCCTCCACCTGAGGAGCCCTGCCGCCATCGGGTGCGGGTCTCGTCGCGGCACCACCCGCGTGTTCGAGTAAGGCCGCAGTGAGCTGAAGCCAATCGAGGTGTTCACAGCGGATCGCTTCCGATTAATCGACGTCAGTCCGACCGACCGCATCGAAGCGCTGTCTGGCAACGGGGCAGCGCCAATGCCCGCGAAGCACAGCGCGCTCAGCACCGCCGCGCCGACTGCAAAGTGCAGATGGGAAGAATTACCCCGCCCCCCTGGCCTCACGAGCTGGTCCAGCACCGAAGCTCCGGCAAATCAGTACGCCAACGCGCTCTGCCCCCTGGCCCGAGAGCAGCTCGGGAGGGGGCACGGGAGAGGCGCACCGACGTCGTCGACGGGCGCCCTGGCGGCTGGTGGGGCCCCCGAGACAAGCTTCCAGGAAACAACGTCGCTGGTGGAGGCCGCTCCCCGACCTGATCTGAGCTCAGAGAAGGCCACGGAGTGGTTCTGTTGCCCGGTGGGAGCCACGCGCGGCTCTTCAGCGCACCTGGACACTGGCGCGGCGGCAGCACAGCAGCACACGCTCGAAGGCGCCGAGAGAGCCGGGGGAGCGCGCCGATGGAGCGACTGGCGAGCAGCGAGTCGTCGTCGGAGGTGCCGTGCGCCACCGCTCCGCGGGTGGCCCCGCCCAACGGGCCCGCGACGAAAACCTCTCGAGCCATCTGCCCTGTGCAGCCCGCGCTTCTGCAAGCGATGGGCCCGAGCACCACGGGTCCGAGGCCGCCTCTGCCACGTGCATCCCCAGCGGCTCTCTCCCCGGCGACGCGGGCCGCCAGATGCATCTTCGGCATCGAAGTAACCGCGCTAAGATCAAGAGGGCCTCTGGCGAACTACCCAAAGGAATACTTCAAACATTCTGCCCGAAACAAGCCGTGGAAGTCAACGCGGAAGCCTGATCATCCGCAACAGCGCCGCGCAAGTCGCCGAAACTAACCTGCACGACGCCTGCCGGGCTAACCGACATAGCGACGAAACCGATGTTCCCGAGATGAATGTCGACACGCCATCGCAATGTATGCAGATGTCCACAGAAAATATTTGGGCTGCACCAAATAGCCGATCAAAAATAAACACACGTGCTCGGGTAAGGGAAGCGGCCATTGAGCGGCCCGCCACCGCGCGGACGGCGCGAAAAAAGGGGGACCGGCCACAGACATCGCGAGGAAACGACGCCCTCGGTACGCACAGGGCAAGTGCACTTCTGAGGTGCCCCCTTTCCCATCGGCGCGTAAGTAGGGGCGAGCAATACTATTATTGTCACTGCGCGCGAGAGGCCCCCAAATCTGCGACGTCGGTCACGCGCCACTGTCGTTTCGCGGGAGGAGGCACCGTTAAGGATAACTCTCTGGCGGTCTCTGCGGGGCCCTCGTCTTCCACTCGTCGCCCCAGCGGCGGCGCGCCAGTCGGCGCCCCAGAAGACGCAGACGCACATCGGCGCAAGCTCCTCTCCTAAGGGCCCTCACGCCGAGATGCCTTCGCTAGCAACGGCCCCCCCGAGCTCGCCCGTCGCTGCCGGGAAGGCGCCGCCCTGCCTGCCAGAGGTCGCATTCCGAGATGCCCTCGCTTGCGCTCCCCCTGGCTGCGCAAGCGGGCGCCCTCGCGCGCGGCCGCTTGACTCGGCGCGCATCTCGAAGATCCTGGCGTCGCCCTTCGAGGTGCCCGCGTTCTCGCGGAGCTCCTGGCGTCGCTTGAGCCTCTCGACCTCCTCCTGCTCGAGCTCTTCGGCTGTCTTCAGCTCCCGCGCGGCAATTTCCATTGGTTCCCCGCGTCGTCCTCCGCGATCCGCATCGCACGCTCGCGCCAGCCGCGGGTCGCGAGGCACATCCCCCCTGCTGCTTTCCACGCGTCCACTGGGAACTCTGCAAACAGCACGCACCCCTTGACTTGGTGCTTCATCGGGAAGGCAGGCGGGACCAACTCGCAGCTCCTCTGGGCTCAGCTTCTGGGCGGCGTCGAAGACCTTGCAGGGGCGCCCGTCAATGGCGTCGTCGATCGCTTGCGGCAGCCTCTCAGCTGAGAGCGCCCCCCACCTGCCACCAACGATGAGCCCCACCACCATCGATGGCCCGTTGCGGCGCGGGCGGAAACTCGACATGCAGCCGATCTCGGGCCACTTCTCGCAGTCAGAATTGAAGTCTGTCTTCGTCTTGTCCACCCATTTTTTTCATGAGCTCGTCCTCGGGGGAGCTCCCACGCGCAGTCACATGCGCCATCCAGTCCACTTTGCACCGGAACTTCCACTGATCACCCCTCGAGGTAGCGCCGGGGCCTCTCCGCCTTCACTCGCCGGGGATGGCTAGCCCGCGCGAGCAGGCGCAGTCCTTGTCCACGTCCCAGCCTGCGCCCCTCATGCACAAGTTGCACAGCTGCATGTCGTCGCTCCACTTGTCCGCGAAGTCGAGCGCCTTTACGCACTGGGCCTGCTGCGCACCTATGTTCTTGCCAGCCTTGTAGTCGCCGAGCTCATGCAGCTCCTTCTCCTTCTCTTCCAGCGCTTGCTCGGCTGTCTTCAACGCTCCCTCCGCGCACTTCAGGGCGATCGCCATATTCCCCCCCGCCTTGCTAAAGGCCGCGAAGATGTCCCCGTTCTCATTGGTGCCACCCACCAGGGCCTTCGACACCTCCTTGGACCTCTTGTTCCTCTGGTTGCGTGACTTCTTATTTGGTCCTCCTCTGCGTCGATGAGCGCCTTCGCTCTGTACTTCTCCCCTCCATGGCGAAACTTCTCCTCGTCGCTCCACTCGGTCTTGTCCTCTTGCCTGAGGGCCAACTCGCAGTTGACGCGCGCCCTCTTCCACTGGCCTCCTTTTTCCTCTTTGGCTTTGTTCACGTCCAAGCTCGTGATTAGCGCGCCCCCTGTAGCTTTCCATCATCCTGTAGTCCCCGCACCCCTCGCCGCATCGGCCGC